AGATAAAGACAGTAGTCTAGAAATCATGCAGAAAGGTGCCCTCCTGTGGCTGACTCGACAGCTGCTGCTACGCAAGGGGACTGATGAGCACCTGCTCTGGCCTGGTGAGCGGCTTCTGATCGTGCAGGAGAGGCCTTCCTTTTTCTTGCTCAACTTGTGAGCGATATCAGGGAGAACAAGTTTTCACCTTCAGCGCCCGGGGCAGCAGGACAAAGTCATGATCCTTAGAGGTCCCGGTGCACTGGGACGCTAGGGTTAAAGTAGCACACGAGCTTGAACAGGACTAACTCTGCCAGGTAAGGGACAGAGGAGACAGCTGACGTCCTGACTTACTTTGAGCATATCAGTCTGTGGCATGGGGAGGTGGAGAAGGTAAGGACGGTTTATCATCTGATCAACTAGCATAAATGGGAGTCCCTGTAGCATGCCAGGTACCGCTCTAGGTGTGGACATCCTGCAGAGATGAAAATGCCCATCCCGTCCCTGAAGCTTAACGTCCTAGCAGGGGAGACACGGAATGTGCAGTAAACATAAATACACGCATTCTGCTAGAAGATGCTAAGTGCAGCCTAGGGAGGGAACGGAGCAAGGTAGGGGAGAGGGTTGTGAATTTAAATAGGGTGGTCAAGCCTCATTGAGAACGCGACATTGGCACCAAGATGAGAAGGAAATGAAAGAGTTAGCCATGTGAAGATCTAGGGAAGGGCAGTCCAGACGGAGGGGGCCGCCAGCCCAGGGGCTGGAACACTGAAGGAAGAAATAGAAAAGAGGGCCAGTGGGCCCAGAACAATGATGGAAAAGTTCTGAGGTTGAAAAGGTGCATTTTCAGGAGAAAAACCAATGTTGGTGAGTAACTATTTTTGTTGTTGTCATTAGATGCCATTGAGTCGTTTCCTACTCACGGCAACTCTATGCAGAACCAGCACCATACTTCTAATCATTGCTATGTCTGAGCCCACTGTTGCAGCCACTGTGTCAATCCATCTCATCGAGGGGCTTCCTGTTTCACTGCCCCTCCACTTTGCCAAGCATGCTGCTTCCATGGGTGTTGATTATGGACACATTGAAACCCTTAACAACTTGATATTTCCTCTGCTAATCCTGCTGTTGCCTATTGGTCTGGCTGTGAAGGCTGTAGTCTTCGATCTTCACCGGAGAAGAACTGGTGCATTTGAACGGTGGTGCTGGTGACGAATACTGAAAGGACCATGGATCGCCAAAAGAACAGACCAGATCTGCCTTGGAAGTACAGCCAAGAGTGCTCCTTCGAGGCAAGAGTGGTTTGGACATGTTGTCGGGAAAGACCAGACCAAAATAGAGGAGCTGTGAGGGAAAGGAAAGCCCTCAACAAGGTGGATTGACACAGTGGCGACACAGTGGGGGCAAACATAGAACCGTTGTGAAGCTGGTGCAGCACAGGCAGTGTGCGTTCACTCTGTTGCACATAGGCTCACTACAAGTCAGCGCACAGCACTGGTTCGCCTTGCTCTCAAACGGACACTCTGTGGGTCTCTCCCAGACAGTTGTCCAGGAAGCGTGCTTCCAGTGCTGCTTCAGTTTGTACTCAGTTGATAATCTTACAATTCCTGGAACCTTGTTTTTGGCTAATGTCTTCAATGCAGTTTCAATGCCTTCCTTCAGGACCATCAATTCTTAATTATATGCTGCCTCTTAAATTAATGAACATTGAATGATTATTTTTTTGTGCAGTGACTCAGTATATTCCCTCCATCTGTTAATATTTCTTGCATCATTAAGTACTTTGCTCATAGAATCCTTCAATATTGTAACTATAGGCTTGCATTTTTCTCTAGTTCTTTCCATTTGAGATACGATGATTATGTTCTTCCCTTTTAAAAAAATTATTAAATCATTTTATTGGGGGCTTGTACAACTCTTATCACAATCCATACATCCATCCATTGTGTCAAGCACTTTTGTGCATCCAAGCGACCCAGACAGAAGCAGCAAGTCTTATGACCTGGCCTGGGAAGTGGGTGCCGTCACACCTTCTGCATTCTGTTGGGCACAAGCAAGTCTTGGGATCAGTTCAGCATCAAGGGTGGTGGAGGGGTAGTTGTCAGTGCCAACAGGGTGATTTACTGGGAGGCCTCCACTGAGTCCAAATGGCCACATGGTCTCGCCAGTGTTTTCCTATTTGATTTGACTAGCAAAATAGTAGTGGCATTTTATTCCAGTCTGTGTTTTTCTGAAGAATATTTTTTCAGTGTTTTTTTTTTTACCCTTTTACCATCTTCAAGAAAGCTTCACTTTTTTAGGTACTAAATTTGGCATTGAAACCGTTTTCATGGATTTGTCTTGGTATGTCACAGTACTCTTAACTGAGAAAACACTCTTGATTCTCAGCCCCTTTATATTAGAATATGTAAATTATTTGGCCCAAATATTTTCATAGTTAGTCTTTTTGCCTCCAGAGCATGTCTACAACAATGTCTCTGTACGCTGCTTATACTTGCCATCTCTGACCTTGTCACCCAGTTGCGGTGGTATGGGGTTGTTCAGCCCGTCCATCTGAACGATTGAAAAATGCCAGGCCCACCTGAAGGGTTTTAAGCAGAACTTGAGAGATTTCAGAACTCCATTTTGGAATGTCAAAATTAAATCTCATGAATTCAGTATTTGAGCTCTTGCTCAAGTTTTCCTGTTTCAAAAGAAATTTCAGAAAATGTCTAGTTATGTTTATTTTCAGTGATTGACATAGTCTAACTATCTCAAAAGCTGCCAGGTTTTTTTGTGCTCCATTTGTTACGGTTCCCACCTATTGTGAACAAAGTGTTGTGCAGCTATCCTGGGTGTGGGTAAAGGTCCGCACACCCTCCCAGGACCCAGGGATGGATTTAACCAGCAGTTCTATCAAGGCTTAAATCTTTCTAATAGGAACATTTAAATGTGCTAGAACATTGCATTTCCTTTGTGTACCACATCCATTTCATCATAGAAATTTATTGTTTCTATTACTCTCTGAGTACACAGAAGTACTTGTATAAATTTTGAGGACAGCTTTTGTTCATAAATAGCTTATCACATCTTAAATTGATACATTATTGCATTGTGTGTGCACTACAACTAACCCTAAGACTGTTCCTGCTCTACAAGCTTCTTGGTTTAAGAAACTGGAAACATTTTTGGTTGTTGTTTTAACATGACAAATTCATATTTGAGGGTCAACACAAAACAGCTTACACAGGTTAACACAAAACAGTGTCTCTAACTGCCTTGACAGGTGTTTTTGTAATGATGTCAGAAAGCAAAACCAGTCTGTTTCTCATGAAAGGATTCTAGGAATGACTGAGCTGATTTCCAGCTCAGCGTGTCAGGTGACACGCTCACACTGGCACAGTGAGCCGTCGTGGGTCCTGCTGCTGCTGCTGAAGCGCACGGCAGCTCTCTGTCTTCCTCTGGTGCCCGAAAAAGCCTTGGGACTGAAAATTAAGCAAATGAATGTAATGCAGTCAACAACCACAGGAGATGAAGCACGCCCCCTCCCCCCTCGGGCACAGAGGTCGGAAGGCAGGAAGACAGGAAAGGAGGAGGACAGGAAGCAGTAGACACAGGGAGAGAGTGGAGAGCGCTGTCACGTTCTTGGAACTGTCATCAGTGGCTTGAATCAGAAGGTACGGACTGAGGAATGGAAAATGAATCTGCTTTCACCCAGATTACAGTGAAAAGAAGGACACATCTCTGTCTATCTATGCCGTGTGTGTGTGTGTGTGTGTGTGTGTGTGTGTGTGTGTGTGTGTGTGTGTGTGTCTCGGCCAAACTACAAACCCTCAAGATTTGGCGCCTGGTGCGCTGCGTGTTAGCACTCAAGAAGTCAGACAGGGAAGAAAGTGGCAGAAGCCGGAAGGGATGTTTAGTACATCCACAGATGATGGTTGTCCTGACACGGGGGTTGGGAAAACCACCTCTGACTAAAACAAGGGTGAGCATATAGCGGGGCGGGAAACTAGATTAATAGAAGTGGAACAACCAGACGGAAAACGTGAGAATGTCCCCACGTTATGAAGAATGTAGCCATTGTCTCTGGCTACACACAGCTGGTGTAAACTGTTGATGGGACCCGAAACAGCAGTATGGACTGTCACCGAAAACACGGGAAGAATTTTTCTAACGAAAGGAAGGAACCAGTGGCCCCGAGCCTCTCGTGGGGTGATGGCAGTGTTGTGGATTCATGAGCGTGTGTCTGTCATGTCTCTGAGCTGCACTCTTCAAGTGGGTGTGCTTTAATCAATGTAAATTAAACTTCTGGAAAGTTGTTTTTCAAGATGGGCCTTAGGGAATTTAATGAAAATGTTTGCTTCTGGTTGTGTGTTCACATATTGGTTTACGGGGCCCATTTGAAAAGGCTTCAGAATCTAACAGAAAATAATAAACATTGATTCCCTGAGTAAAGTGCCCATTATTGGTCAGCAGAATTTCAGCTTACTATCTCTTCAGAGAATTGGATATTCCATTTCTCATAGCCTAATGTGCGCGGCCATTGTCGGAGGTGGAGCAGTTTGTAACCCCTTGCTGTCCATAATTGGGTTTCCTTTGCACTCGCGCTTCTTTGGCGGCATTTTCTGTGTGGAGTCGGAAGGCAGCTTCGTGGTGTAAGCGTGTTTCCAGGACGACGTCTACACATCATTAGCTAGTGTTGAGGTGGCTTTCTCCACCCGAGAGGGTCTCTTAGAGCCGCGGCGTGGACCCTCTGGCTCCCTACAAACCCAGTTGTGCTTGTTGAGTTTCTTGCGGCCCCGGGTGGTGAGTTAGTCCCCTGTACCAACGACTGGCTCACCAGGTCTGACGAGACCTTCCAGCCTGGACCTGGTGCTCTGCAGCTTCGCCGCACACTGTGACTTTCATGCTTTGTGGCTTCATCACAGACTGCCCTACCTGAGCCCGGGGAGCATGCAGTCAGATGAGTTGCATCATTAAGCCTGCCGGCTTTCTAAACGGAGTGCCACGCCCGCGGGCTGATGGCTGGCTTTTCTCCCCAGGGAACCATCAGCGTTGGAGTAGATGCCACTGACCTGTTTGATCGGTACGAGGAAGACTATGAAGATGTCTCTGGAAGCGGTTTTCCACAGATTGAAATTAACAAAATGCACATTTCCCAGTCCATCGAGGTAAAGAGCACACACCCTGCTCCCGGGCCCTCTCATCTTTATTCATGAAAAGATGCAATTAGCAGCTTAAAAGAAAGCTGCAGTCACTGCCTGGTTTGTTAGTGGTGCTATCTAAAATGTTTGCCAGCATGGGGGGGGTGTCGGGGGTGGGGTGGGCGGGTGTGCTCCCAGGGGCCGCAGGTCTCAATTTAGAAAGTCCCAGTGGTCCAGGAGACACAGAAGCCCAAGGTCATGGTGATCTGTGTAGGAAGGGCGCGCCGAGCCCTGCAGATCATTCTAAGAAGTGGCTTCCCCTGAAGCCCGCTGTTGTGTGCTGACCTGAGCCCTGGTGTCACCACCATGTCTTCCTTCTGCCCATTATTCAGATGTGGGGGTTTCAGGCCAGTCTTCTGAGGGTCACAAGAGGTCTCTGGGTCAATTCAGATACCTGTTCCCCAGTGTGTCCGCCTGGAATGTTGAGCCCTAACCTGGGGACATAGCCATCCTTTGGGGACGCCCACAGCCCCGGAGAGGAGAGGAGCCCTTCTCTCACCAGGTCAGAGGGCCACCACAGGAGACACCTGGCAGAGCCTCTGGATACACATCTCTCTGCTTTTTACGTTTCCCTACAAATGTTGGCCAAACCAGGACTTGGGAGCAGTTCAGATTCTCAAAGTGAGAGGAGAGTAGAGCAGTTCCGGCAACTCGGCACGCCTGCCCACTCTGACCCAGGTGGCGGCGTCCTGGCATCCACCACCTGGGCCTTGTACTACCATGGGTTAGGCGAGTCCGTGTGCCGGCGGGACATGGGTTAGGAGTGTGCGTGTGCCAATGGGACACACATTGCTCATCTGCAGACGTTCCTTTCTAGGCACCCTTGACAGCTACAGACACAGCCATCCTTTCTGGAAACCTCTCCACCCAAAACGGGAATGGAGGCGGCTCCATTAACTTCGCGCTCCGGAGGGTCACTTCTGCAAAGGGCTGGGGAGAGGTAAGCGTGCTGTCTGCCTGGGCTGTGTCAGTGGCTTCTGCACACACACCCACTGGGGGCTAGCCTGCAAAGTGGGCCCAGGGCAGCTGCCCACCAGGCGGCAACAGTTCTCACAGCCAAGCATCTATGAGCCCAAGAGAAAATCGGGCCTCATCTCTGAGGCAGCGTCCTCCGGGCCTGCCAGACAATGTAGGTTAGGTTGGAAACACAAGATTTCCCTGCAGACTCCAACGTCCAGGAAGCCAGCTCAGCATCTTTTATTTCCTTGAAGCAAAAGCCCATGGACTGAGCCCTTTCCCTGCACCACCCCAAGGCCAGGCACGCACTCAGTGGACGCTCTGGTCCAGTGACTGGTGGCCATTCAGTGCTGCCAAGCAAATGGAGCTGTATCAAATTAACTTTGAAGCATGGCCTTGAAAGTCACCCAGCCTGGTAAATGAGGCAGCCCGCCAGCTGCAGGCTCCATGGCTGAGTGCAGAACTGCTGACGGCCTTCAGCCCGGGCCCAGGAGAGCCATCTCGAGCCACCTATGAGACCCAGAGCTGGGGAAGCAGAGCAGAAGGGAATGCACAGAGGGAAGGAGCTCGCCTGGCCACAGTAGCTGGCCTGGGCCCTGAGAGGGCAGTGTGTGTGGTCTGTGGAGGAGCTGCTTTCTGCAACCGGGGCCACCTCTGCGTAGTGGCAGCAGGTGGCCCTGTGGGCGAGGGATAGGATGAAGCTGGACACCTCGCCTGCTGCTCTTAGAGCCTGGGCCTGTGAACCTCCTGTGAGGAGGCAACACCATTAACACTCTCTTTTCCCAAACAGTTGGAATTTGGTGCCGGAGATCTTCAGGGCCCTCTGTTTGGTCTCAAGCTCTTCCGGAATCTCACACCACGATGGTAAGTACAAGATGGGGGATCTTGATGGCTTGTGTTCGGGAACCCAGGTATTCTGTTTGTGGGCATGGTTTCAGTGAAGGTGTCTGCCCTGTGAGGTCACAAGCAGGCAAGGCGTCGGGAGGCTGTAGGGGTGGAAGGGCGTCTGGCGCGCTGGGCCGCCCTGGGCCAGACTCACCTGGGAGCAGCACTTTCCTCGTTGCGATGTGTGCTTTCATAGGAAGCTGGTCATCTGGTTCTGTTTCACATAGCACTCTCTACTTTTTTTAAAATCATTTTATTGGGGGCTCATGCAACTCTTAACACAATCCATACATACGTCCATTGTGTAAAGCTCACTTGTACATTTGTTGCCCTCATCGTTCTCAAAACATTTGCTCTCCACTTAAGCCCCTGGCATCAGCTTCTCATTTTTCTTTTTTCTTTTTCCCTCCCTCCCCACTGCCCCCTCCCTCATGAACCCTTGATAATTTGTAAATTATTATTATTTTATCATATCTTACACTGCCCGATGTCTCCCTTCACCCACTTTTCTGTTGTCCATCTCCCAGGGAGGTGGTTATGTAGATCCTTGTAATCAGTTTCCTCCTCCCACTCTCTACCTTTTAACTAGGCTCTATAATCCATTGGAGTGGCCACCCAGAATCCACAGAGAGTGCTCACAATTACAGAGTTTCTTGTGGAAGTAACCAGTGAAAATGTTTAGGATACAGTTGTTCAGTCAGGACATGCTACGATGTTCTTTCAGGGTTGCTAATACCCAAAGGGGCATACCACTCCACGCCTCAACCTGAGGGTGCTCCGCTCAGGCGCCGTAGGACAGGAAACCCAACTCCCTGAGTTAGGTCCCCAGAAGGACCCTCTCCAGTAACCCTCAGCCCAAAGGCCCTCCAGGTGGGTTTGCTAGCCCACCTCTCAGAGGCCTCCCACTCCACAAGCCAGCCTCCTACTGAAAAGCACTCAGCTTGACTTGCTCGGCGGCCTGGGACGTTCACCACTCTGTCTCCTGCTCTGCTGCTGTTCCTGTGCCACTCCTCAGTCGTCATCACTATCTTCTGCATTCAAGAGGCTCACTACACAGGGATCTCGGGGTCCAGAGGACTACCGCTCCTGCTCTCAGCGGCGGGAAGACTCCCCCACCCCCTGCTTCTCCAAGGGTTCATTTGATGGCCAGCATGTTGTCATCCACAGCGAGTTCTGTTGCCAAGCCCTCACAGCGGAATCCCATCAGTATCTTCGCCGACTAGACCCCAGGAAAAGGTCATTTGGTGGAGTCTACAGAGACTATGGCTGGAAGAGCCGCGTTAAATGATCCACAGTCCTGCAGTCCCAGCGAATGCAGC